GTTTGACAGTAAGACTTTTGTGATGAAATTAATATTTCATTTCAACGAATTAATATTTCGTTTCAGTAAATCAATATTTTGTTTAAAAGAATTAATATTTCGTTATAATTAATATTCTGCAATGTATGATTTAACGTTGGATGTGAAGTCAATAAATGTTATACAGTGACTTTTTGTGGTTTGACGGTCCTTCAGTCATTTCGCGTAATGTCTGACCATGATGTTTAGTCATTCCGTGTAATGTCTGGAATTTTCAGTCATTACACGTATTGCCTTGTGCTCACAGGCTCTTCGCGAAATGACTGATTCGTTTAGTCATTACATGAAATGACTGATTTCATAAATTGACTGTAACATATATACTTTTCTATTGTAGTTATACTTTTGAAGTTTTGGTCTTGGTTTTGTGGGACAAAGTAATAAGTCAGTCAAGCAAGGAAGATTAAGCAGGTAAACAACGTAGGTGTATAGACGGTATAATACGATAAATACGCTGATCACGTAATTATACCTAATCAATCCAGCCTATTATCAACAATTATCGGGATGAGTGGTAGTTAACCACTCAGTTTACTATATTAATTTTGAAATTCTGAATATTATTCATCATACCTTGATGTCCGATTGGGCATATTCCTGGCCGGACATTTGGAAAATAGCATAGGACATGTCCGGAATATACGAGCGAAATCCAAACACTTAAGAAACTGAAATTCGACACGAAAATTGACGAATTTCGTAACTTTCGACACAAATTTTCATGCTGTTGAGGGTTAGTTGACAACGATTTTATTTTTTATGTTGTTAGAACAGGTCAAGATGCAAATAAAACGATTTTCATTTTTATCGCAAACCCTGCTCCAGTGGAGTTATCGCAATTTGAAGAAAGAGTATAATTCAGGTGTCTGCAGACACGTATTTTGTGTAGTGCCATGACACCTACGGAAAGTGAGGCTGTATTGGGTGACCATTATAATATGGTAGGGTGAGACCTGGACTATAATCACCAACCAAAACTTAGTTCGCTATTGGTCGATTAACGGCTATAGTAATGCTACAAAAATGGTCGAAATTTGACCTGAAAATGACGAAAATCAGCTGAAAAACGTAATCGGGCTGTATCTCAGAAACGGTTGATTTCTAAAATTGATGATTTTGGCTGGGGAGTAGGCTCGATGGTTCGACCAAACCCTGTAAATATGAACTCAATCGGCCAACCCCCACCTTCGAACCTTCTGCATGGTTTTCTCGTGGAATGGCTCTTAAGTGTGTGCAAGAGAGGCTTAAATGACAATGTCAATAACATTATACACCTTAGCCGCAGGTCCCTTTAGGCCTGCTGCCAAAATTTCTAGCTTGCTTAGAAAGACAATTCCGCTACATGGTCCTCCCTAATAAACAAACTATACATTTTTGGAAAGCTTATAACACCAGGAACACAAACCCAGCGAGTTCCAAGCAAAATGTTTGCACTAATTCGATTTAGGGCCAGATGAAAATTGTGATAATTTTCAAGTAAATGCTATATTTATACTAACAATTGTGATGTTGACATAAAATTAAATATTGGCGAAAACACCCAATGCCTTCATCCTCGGCAACATCCTCGGTTACCCAGTGTACTCATTCCGTTCTACTCCACTATACCCTGGGTTAATCTATGGGGGAGACATGTTTTCAAGTTATCCGCCCTTGATGATTGTGCTATTTTTATCGACCAATCCCATAAATTGTTATTTGAAAAGGAAGTTGGCAAAGGTAATTTACTGTCATCAGACAATGTTAGAAGTTGGCCTATTCTAAATGCGTAATTATACTGAGCGCCATGGAAAACGCATCACTTTTTTTCCCAAATATTTTATTACTAGGTGGTTTTGTAAGTATAATATTATGCAATACTATGAAGTATTGTTTCACACAATGCTCACAAACGCAAAAAATATCGGCCCGTGTGCCAAAAAAAAAAATTGCACAAGATGCACATGAAAAACCCAATATTCACGTGCAGCATTGTGTATGAGCCCTTTAAAAGCATGTTTTCAAATTAATGTGCAGTACATGAACTATGAAACGTCAATCTGTCGTAATTTGTTGTTGGACGTGTGAAGGAATCGAGCTAGAGATGCCGAGACTTACTGAAAATCAAAGGAATGAAGCCATGGGAATGTCCAGGGCTGGCATGTCTACACGTGCTATTGCCAGACACTTCAATTGTCATCAGTCCACTATTGTAAGGTTGGTGGAACGTGTTCGAGTTACTGGATCAACACGTGACCGTCAACGTCCTGGTCCACAACGCGTTACAACCCTAGCTCAAGACCGCTACATCCGGGTCACTCATCTGCGTGACAGATTCCGCCCAGCGACTCGAACAGGTGCAGCAGTCGTCGGAAGACAAGGACCAGTAAATGCCAACACCGTAAGACGTCGTCTAAGAGAAGTAAGACTCCGTGCACGACGACCGTATGTTGGAGCTATCCTCAGGGATCATCACCGTCAGCGGCGTTTGATATGGGCTCAAGGGCACCAGACATGGAGAAGAGTAGACTGGCAAAGTGTGCTCTTCAGTGATGAGAGTCGCTTTCATCTTTATCACGCTGATGGCCGTCAACGTGTGTGGAGACGTCTTGCAGACTGTTGCGTCTTCGATACGAATCGATGGGGTGGGGGAAGTGTAATGGCGTGGGGAGGCTTGACATTTCATCACCGGACCGCCCTACACATTAGCAGGGGTCGCGTTAATGCTGTAGCCTACCGTGATGATGTCTTGCAACCAATTGTTGTTCCGATGTTTCGAGCGCACCCACAACTTCAGCACTTCCAACAGGATAATGCACGTCCGCATAACGCCCGTTTTAGTATGGACTACCTGGCTGCTAACAACATCGATGTCTTGGACTCACCAGTCATGTCTCCGGACATGGCACCGATAGAACATGTCTGGGATGAGATTGGACGCCGTCTGTATCGGAGACCACAGATGCACACCATTGCTGCTTTAGAAGCTGCTCTTGTCCAAGAATGGAACAATTTGCCCCAGGCCTTCTTTCAAACATTGGTAAAGTCCATGCGACGTCGCTGCACAGCGTGCAGAAGAGCCCGTGGAGGACACACGCGCTACTGACATCTGTGTCGTACTTTTGGTTTTGACCCCTCTGACTTCGTACCGTTGATTACAGATTAAACATCCATAAGTGTACAAATTTGTTGTTATTGATGTGTTCCCATTTGAATATTACAGGATCATTTTGTTATACGAAAAAAAGTGATGCATTTTCCATGGCGCTCAGTATATTAACAACCAATTATATATTATGTTAATGAAGACTGGACGTTCATATAATAATGTAGGGTCATTAGTTTTATTTAGAATCGTTCGTTTGATCCCGGAATTTTATGTCCACGTGATATCGTAGACAAGTTATTGTGAATCAAATTGCCAAGTATAAGTTCAATAATAATAAACATAACAGAATGACATATTTCAGACAAAAAACGAATAGTAATAATAATAACAAAAGTCAAACATATAGGTGTTATACATATTTGAAATCAACAACACATACTACAGATTTTGATAATACAATTAAATATAAATAAATTATAAATATATAGGCCTACATCATTTACATAAATCATTCAGTCAATGGACATGAATATGGTTATCTACCCTTATAAAAACGATAGCGAAACGATTGGTTTGTAAACTGTTTTCTGTTTGGTTCGTAGACTGTAGCTAAATTCTTGGCCAGGGCAGATAATTTGAAATCGTGGAAACCCTATGGATTAACCCAGGGTATAGTGGAGTAGAACGGAATGAGTACACTAGGTAACTGAGGATTCATCGGCAAAGAATATGCTATTGGTTAAATTTTGATTTAAAGCAAAATGCAGAAAACCTAATGGACAATAAGGGAACATACAGAATTTTGGAAATCCATTAACGGTAATAGAGAGTTTTCTGTCAAATGTCTGCAATTGATAACAGTATTTCAGGTGTGGAGTTATGCCCCTTTTCAGAAAACTTTGTGAACGCGATATAGGTTACAGTTTTTGACAGATTTTTTCCAAATTTGGTTGTAAGCATTAGGGTCATGAGAGGATGAACCCTATCGATATTAAGCATTTTGTGACATTCTGTTTCAGAGTCCCACACTCACCCTGAACATAATAGAGGAGGCTATAGTTTCTAACAGATTTTTGTAAAATCCTGTTTGAAGCATTGGGGTCATGAGAGGATGAACCTTATCGATATTCAGCATTCCGCGACTTTTTATTCTGGAGTTATGCCCTATTTTCAAAAAGACCTAATGATGAATGCGATAGAAGGCTATAGAAAGCATTGGGGTCATTGATCCCTATTGATATTCATGATCTGCAGCCTTCAGTTCCTGAGTTATCCCCCTTTGCGATATAAGCTATAGGTTATTCAAATTTGGATTGAAGGAATGGAATCATAAGAGGATGCACACTAGACATTTGATTTCTTCAAGGATCCTAGATCCTTATCAAATTTGCTCAACATCCAATTTTTTTTTTCGGATAAGCTGCAATTGAATCAAAGCTGCTGTGTGGGCGTATTCCACGCTTTGCGTGGCTATCTTTACTTATGGCAATTGACCAGATCCATTCCTTGTTCACATGTTTCTTTTCTGAGGTTTAACCTAGTTGATTGTTTATGATTGGTACAGTCCTCCTCCACTTATAAAATGTTATCTATGTAAAACTTATAACACCAATAATAAGTGGTCATTGGATTTTCTAGAAAAGATAAATATTCTGCCCAGTAGGCCTACATGATATCAAAGTATGTTGCTGATATATTACTTTGATCATGATCATTCATCCACAATGCAACTCTAAAACCTATTTTTATCACTAGGTTTTCACATAATATTCTTCAAGTTCAATGTATTTTTCATTGAAACATAATACAGTAGTGATTGTATGAGATGAGATAGAAATGTTATGTATAGAAGAGATGATGTTAGTTTACTTACATCATGATACTGTCTAGCATGTTTATTGTAACAAAATTCATGTTTCCACCAACCTGTTCCCTACAAAATATAAATTCAACTACAACATTCTCTATATTTAAAGGGGCATTATGGGAGATTAATTAAGAGTTGACAATTCTCGCTATAAAAGTTAAAAAATAGATAACGTAAATAGAATATGCTGAAAATTTCAGTCAAATTGCTTCACTCTGAACCAAGATATTAGCAATTGAATTTTAGGCCTAGACTCGATCATCATTACTAAAGTTGGTACTATACAAAGTCTTGATTATTCCTTTTAAGGTTTAATTATTTTTCATAAAATGTATTCCAATCCGCTAAATAAGCATTCTTAGAGTATTCCTAATAGATTCCAATATGTTGTAGTAGATAAAGCATCTATAGAGCGGAGGCTCAGTGGGGGGGGGGGGAAGAGTCCATCAAATGTGCACAAAACCAGACCCAACACTTCTATAGTAAAATTTTGCGTAGAATATGTTGCCGAGCGGGGCATTTTCGTGATATTTGAGGACAAAGGTCAAATGAAGTCATTTACACTGAAAGTGAATGTGCAGCCATTCCTATATCATGCAAACATTGTGAAACTAAATAGGAGAAGTTTCGATTTGACAGTTTTTACTCATTTTTGAAACAGGTTTTGAAGTGTTTTTGTCCTATTGTGCAAGATCTTTTTTGACATTCCAAAGTAAACGTACGGTGCAAAGACCCCCCTAAAGATATATTTCAAATCTTCCTATTATTAATTAGAACATTTTTCTCTTTAGTTTTTATATTTTACGCCGACGTGTATTGCTTTAAATCTTTCTACGTTCAAAAACTTGACCTTTTGACCTCCAGGGTCACAAAGAACAAAGGTGAATTTAGTAAGTTCACAATTTTATTAAAAGAGTGATTAGTTTCGATCATGAAACAAGAACGACTGTGTGCTCACTTTCAGTGTAAATGACCTCACTTGACCTTTAACCCTGAATATCTCGAAAACGCCCCAACGGCGGACTGATTACCACTCAGCATCATATTCTATGCAAAAAAATACTCTAGAAAAGTTGGTCCTGGTTTCGCTGCCCCCCCCCCCCTCCCCAACCTCCTAATGAGGCTCTAGACTACAGTGAAATTGATATAGCAAACACATTTTTGTAAATATATAATCCAAATACATTCACTTGATCTGATATATTTGTTGTTATATTGCTTGCAATGTCTGTGTAGTGTTGTTTGTGTTGAATTGACCCATTAAATTCTATCTGAAGTAGACTACATTCAAATGATGATAATTTTTTTGAGAACATTATATCACAACAATATGTATATCAGCGGGTACAAGGCAAGATACGCCCATATTTTGCAAGAGATGGATAGAGAACAAGCTAAAAACAGAAATTTTTTCGTACAATCAAGGGCCATAATTGAGAAAGTTAAGGCCTGAAGTGCGCAAATATCGAAAGGGACCGAAATCTTTAGGACATAACATATATATTTTAAGTTTCATCAAAATTGGATAAAAATTGTAACCTCTAGAGGTTCCACAACCTTCGTATTACATACTTTTCCGCAATTTGCGTACAAAGAGCAGCTATTTTTGTCAGGCAGTTTAGTGATATATTTAAATGGTTTTTAAAATCGGATAAAAAATTGTGACCTCTAGAGAATCCACAAGCTAAAAAACACGATTTTACGTACAATCAAGGGCCATAATCCAGGAAGTTACGGTCTGATATGCGCGAATAGCGAAAGGAACCAAGATCTTTGGGTTATAAACATGTATTTCAAGTTTCATCAAAATCGGACCAAAATTGTGACCTCTACAGGGTCCACAACCTTGATATACCATAAGTTTACACTATTTGCTTATTTTGTCCAGCAGTTTTGGTCCGATTTTCACAAAATTCGAACTCTACCAACATTACAGTGCAACAGTAATATATTCAAACATTTTTTTTAAATCGGATAAAAATTATGACCTCTATACGGTCCACAAGCTAAAAACGCAATTTTATCGTACAATCAGGGGCCATAATTCAGGAAGTTACGAACCGATATGCGTGAATATCAAAAGGAACTAATATGTTTGGGTTACAAACATACATTTTAAGTTTCATCAAAATCAGATACAAATTGTGACCTCTAGAGTGTCCACAAGCTAAAAACATGATTTTTCATACAATCAGGGACCATAATCCATGAAGTTATGGTTCGATACATGCCAGACCTATATTTCAAGTTTTGTCAAAATCAGATAAAAATTGTGACCTGTAGCGTGTCCACAAACAAATTTAGGACCGAAGTCAGGTCGGACAGGGGCGACGGCATAATACATCCACATGAAAATGTGGGCGTATAAAAAATAATTGTAATATGAAAACATTTTTTACCCCTTGTAAACAGTAATCACTGCTGAGGAAATCACGAAGTATTTGTTTATCTGTATTAGGACCAAGTGTTGGTGTAGGTGGGGTGGTAGCTTTAGGTGTATGATATACTTTTACTTTATTTATCGTATCTCCATCACTTACAGTAATCTCTTCTTTAACTATGCCTTCATCCTATATAATATATATTTCACATTCTTAATAGACTATTTTCAACATTTTAAAGAACACATTATTCACATTTAACAAGCCAACAGTGTGGCTGATGTCCCCCGCCGAAATCCCCAAATAAATAGATGGCACATATTAATTAATCGCACATCTATTTTTTTCAAAAGTATCGAGCAATCAAACTGGTTATCAACTATACACTAAGTTTCATCACTCTCTATCAGATAGAATCAAAGTTATCTTGTCCCAAAGCATCGACCAAGAAAATTGCTTAGCTCTGCTTAGCTTTAGCTCGATATGTTAATCATTGAACTCAGTCAAGAAGAACATCTACATCAAGTTTAAACATTCTACCTCAATTAGAAGCAGAGTTGTTATGTTCAAAAGTCTTGACCAATCAAAATGTTTATTGCTCCTTAGCCTAAGCAGATAATGCTCAATATCGAACTTAGTCAAGGTATTGATGTGATAAAACTATACACCAAGTTTCATCACTCTCACTTAATTGGAACTAAAGTTATTGTGTCCCAAAGCATCAACCAATCAAATTGCTTACCTCTACTTACCCTGGGGATCACATGGCTAAGTGGGTAAGACGCTAGCTCGCTAGCCTGGAGGTCGGGTGTTCGATCCCTGCAAAGTTCATCCAGATTTTCCGGCGTGGTTCTGTTCTCCCTTGTGCTTACCCTAAGCAGAAAATGATCATCTTCGAACTCCATCAAGGCATTGACCTAATAAACACCTACACCAAGTTTGAACATTCTAAGTCAATTAGAAGGAGAGTAATTGTGTCCCAAAAAATGTGACGGACGACAGACAGACAGACAGACCCATTTTAATAGTCCCCTGCTTTCTTCAAAAGGCGGGGGACAATAAAAATTACTGTTGGCTGGAAAAACCAGCCGCTGCCAGGCAGGATATGCCCACATTTTTCAAGGGATGGATAGAAAACAAGCTAAACAAGATAGGTTGCCAGGCAACAAAACATACGCCCACAGCAGCTAAATCGTCCGAGCGGTTCTCAAGGGTTGTCGCATATTTATTCCTTTGTAGGTAATTGGGGGCCTTTACAAGACAGTTCCATACAGATGAGATTATAAATTTTGTCGTTTGAGGGTTTACAAGGTTCTACAAACTGAAACAAGGGTCTCAACTCTGGAAGTAATCTACAGAAATTGTTGAAATTTGACAGGCTTCTTCGTTTTACTAATTTAAATAATGCATATAAATTTCATACAGATCACATGATCACTTTTGTCATTCACAATCGCCATAACTCTAGAAATTATTGACGGAAATTGCTGAAATTCAATAGACCTGTTTCACAAATTTAAATGATGCATATAAATTTCATACATATTGGATGATAACTATCATCAATCGAGCATTTACAAGGTTTAACAAAGTGAAACAAGGGCAATAACTCTAGAAGTAATTATTGTAAATTGCTGAAATTCAATAGGCTTTTTCGTTTCACTAATTTACATCATGCATATAAATTTCACAAAGATCGGGTGATAACTTTTTGCGTTAGAGCGTTCACAAGGAACAATAAAGTGAAACAAGGGCCATAACTCTAGACGTAATAAACGGAAATTGCTGAAATTCAATAGGCTTCTCTGTTTCACTAATCTAAATACTGCATATAAATTTCACAAAGATCGAATGATAACTTTGGGCGTTAGAGCGTTCACAAGGTTCAATAAAGTAAAACAAGGGTCATAACTCTAGACGTAATAAAAGGAAATTGCTGAAATTCAATAGGCTTCACCATTCTAAATAATGCATGTAAATTTCAGAAAGATCGGATGATAACTTTTGGAGTTAGAGCGTTCACAAGGTTCAATAAAGTGAAACAAGGGCCATAACACTAGACGTAATAAACCGAAATTGCTGAAATTCAATAGGATTCTTCGTCTCACTAATTTAAATAATGCATATAATTCTCAGAAAGATTGAATGATAACTTTTGACGTTAGACCTTTCACAAGGATCAATAAAGTGAAACAAGGGCCATAACTCTAGACGTAATAAACGGAAATTGCTGAAATACAATAGGCTTTTTCGTTTCAGTAACCTAAATAATGCATATAAATTTCAGAAAGATCGGATGATAACTTATGACGATTAGAGCGTTCACAAGGATCAATAAAGTGAAATACGGGCCATAACACTCGACGTAATAAACGGGAATTGCTGAAATTCAATAGGCTTCTTCGTTTTAGCAATCTAAATAATGCCCATAAATTTCAGAAAGATCGGATGATAACTTTTGACATGAGAGCGTTCACAAGGATCAATAAAGTGAAACAAGGGCCATAACTCTAGATGTAATAAACGGAAATTGCTGAAATTCAAAAGGCTTCTTCGTTTTACTAATTTAAATCATGCATATAAATTTCACAAAGATCGAATGATAACTTTTGGCGTTGGCGCGTTCACAAGGTTCACTAATTTAAATAATGCATGTCAATTTCAGAAAGATCGGATGATAACTTTTGGAGTTAGAGCGGCGTTCACAAGGTTCAATAAAGTGAAACAAGAGCCATAACTCTAGACGTAATAAACGGAAATTGCTGAAATTCAATAGGCTTCTTTGTTTCACTAATTTAAATAATGCATGCAAATTTCAGAAAGATCGGATGATAACTTTTGGAGTTAGAGCGTTCACAAGGTTCAATAAAGTGAAACAAGGACCATAACGCTAGACGTAATAAACAGAAATTGTTGAAATTCAATAGGCTTCTTCGTTTCACTAACTTAAATATTGCATATAAATTTCACAAAGATCGTATGTTAACTTTTGGTATTAGAGCTTTCACAAAGTTCAACAAAGTGAAACAAGGGCCATAACTCTAGACGTAATAAACGGAAATTATTGAAATTAAATAGGCTTCTTCATCTCACTAGTGTAAACAATATATATCAATTTTAACACAATTGGATGATAACTTTTGGCAATAGAGCGTTCACAAGAAATTGTGGCCGATGGACGGACGGGCGGATGGACCGACAGACGGACGGACGAGGGCGACGGCAATATACGTCCACATTTCAATGTTGGCGTATAAAAAAACGATTTTTCATAACATCAAGGGCCATAATTCAGGAAGTTACAATCCGATATGCCCAAATTTCGACACCAACCAAGATCTTGGGTTATAAACATGCATTTCCAGTTTCATCAAAATCGGATCAAAATTGTGAGCTCTAGAGGGTCCACAACCTTGATATACCAGATGGTTTCACTATTCGCGTCGATGACCCATTTTGTCTGGCAGTTTTGGTCTGATGTTCATGCAATTTGAACTCAACCAACAATACGGTGTAACGGTGACATATTTTAACATTTTTTTTTTTGATCAGATAAAAATTGTGACCTCTTGAGAGACCACAAGCTAAAAACACAATTTTTCGTAAAATCAGGGGCCATAATTCAGGAAGTTACGAACCGATATGCGTGAATATCAAAAGGAACTAATATGTTTGGGTTATAAACATGTATTTCAAGTTTTATCATAATCGGATCAAAATTCTGAGCTCTAGAGGGTCCACAACATTGATATACCATATTTTTACGCTATTTGAGTACGAGGGGCAGCCATTTTTTCTGCCAGTTAGGGTCCGATTTTTACGAAATTCGAACTCATCGGTGATATATTTAAACTTTTTTTTAAATCAGATAAAAAAATTATGACTGATCTAGGGTCCACAAGCTAATAATGCCATTTTTCGTACAATTGGGGGCCATAATTCAGGAAAATGAAAAGGAACTGAGATCTTTGGGTTATAAACTTTCATTTCAAGATTCATAAATATCAGAGGAAAATTGTGACCTCTAGAGGGTCCACAACCTTGATATACCATATTTTTACACTATTTAAGAACGAGAGGAGGCCATTTTGTCTGTCAGTTTTGGGCCAATTCTCATATATTTAAACGGTTTTTAAAATCCGAACTCCAATCAAAATTACGGTGATATATTCAAACATTTTTATTTAATCGGATAATAATTGTGACCTCTAGAGGGATCACAAGCTAAAAACACGATTTTTCGTACCATCAGTGGCCATAATTCAGGAAGTTAGGATTCGATACGCGCAAACATCGAAAGGAACCAACATCTTTCGGTTATAAACATGTATTTCAAGTTTCATCAAAACGGATCAAAATAGTGACATCTAGAGGGTCCACAACTTTGATATACCAGATGTTATACACTATTTGCCATTTTGTCCGGCAGTTTTAGACCGATTTTCATGAAATTTAAACTCAGCCAAAATTATGGTGTAACTGTGATATATACTGAGCGCCATGGAAAACGCATCACTTATTTTTTCGTATAACAAAATGATCCTATAAACATATCTTATTTATTTTGCTTCTTATTGTGAACAATATTCAAATGGGAACACGTCAATAACAACACATTTGTACACTTATGGATGTTTAATCTGTAACCAACGGTACAAAGTCAGAGGGGTCAAAACCAAAAGTATGACACGGATGTCAGTAGCGCGTGTGTCCTCCACGGACTCTTACGCACGCTGTGCAGCGACGTCGCATGGAATTTACCAATGTTTGAAAGAAGGCCTGAGGCAAATTGTTCCATTCTTGGACAAGAGCAGCTTCTAAAGCAGCAATGGTGTGCATCTGTGGTCTCCGATACAGACGGCGTCCAATCTCATCCCAGACATGTTCTATCGGTGCCGTGTCCAGAGACATGGCTGGCCAGTCCAAGACATTGATGTTGTTAGCAGCCAGGTAGTCCATACTAAAACAGGCGGTATGCGGACGTGCATTATCCTGTTGGAAGTGCTGAAGCTGTGGGTGCGCTCGAAACATCGGAACAATTGGTTGCAAGACATCATCACGGTAGGCTACAGCATTAACGCGACCCCTGCAAATGTGTAGGGCGGTCCGGTGATGAAATGTGAAGCCTCCCCACACCAATACACTTCCCCCACCCCATCGATTCGTTTTGAAGATGCAGCAGTCTGCAAGACGTTCCCCAAGACGTCTCCACATCACTGAAGAGCACACTTTGCCAGTCTACTCTTCTCCATGTCTGGTGTCCTTGAGCCCATATCAAACGCCGCTAACGGTGATGATCCCTGAGGATAGCTCCAACATAAGGTCGTTGTGCACGGAGTCCTATTTCTCTTAGACGACGTCTTACGGTGTTGGCACTTACTGGTCCTTGACCTCCGACGACTTCTGCACCTGTTCGAGTCGCTGGGCGGAATCTGTCACGCAGATGAGTGACCCTGATGTAGCGGTCTTGAGCCTGGGTTGTAACGCGTTGTGGACCAGGACGTTGACGGTCACGTGTTGATCCAGTAACTTGAACACGTTCCACCAACCTTACAATAGTAGATTGATGACAATTGAAGTGTCTGGCAATAGCACGTGTAGACATGCCAGTCCTGGGCCCTTATTCACGAAAACTTAAACTAAGATACAATCAAAATTTTAAGAAATACTGCAATTCGATTGGCTGACCAGTAAAATCAATTTGCATATATCCAATGAAGTTGCAGTATTTCTTAAAATTTCGGTTGTAACTTAGTTTAAGTTTTCGTGAATAAGGGCCCTGGAGATTCCCATGGCTTCATTCCGTTGATTTTCAGTAAGTCTCGGCATCTCTAGCTCGATTCCTTCACACGTCCAACAACAAATTACGACAGATTGACGTTTCACAGTTCATGTACTGCAACATGCTTTTATAGGGCTCACACACAATGCTGCACGTGAATAGTGGGTTTTTCATGTGCATCTCGTGCAATTTTTTTTTGGTGCACACGGGCCGATATTTTTTGCGTTTGGGAGCATTGTGTGAAACGATAGTTCATAGTATTGAATAATATTATACATACAAATCCACCTAGTAATAAAATATTTGGGGAAAAAAGTGATGCGTTTTCCATGGCGCTGAGTATATTTGAACGTTTTTATAAATCGGATAATAATTGTGACCTCTAGAGGAACCTGAAGCTAAAAAAGTGATTTTTCGTACAATCAGGGGCCATAATTCAGGAAGTTACGATCCGATATGCGTGAATATCGAAAGGAACTAAGACCTTTGTGATATAAGCATAAATTTAAGGTTGCTTCAAAATTGGAAAAACATTGTGACCTCTAGATGGTCTACAACCTTAATACCACATATTTACACCATTTGCGTTATATATAATTTTTTCTTATTACCACATTTTATCTTTGAAATCTAAAAATTAGAGTTTAAATATATGATATATACAATTACAAATTATTTGTTTTTAAAACACAATCTTCCAGATCTAAAGGTTTCACTTAAAGTTTTTCAAGCAGCCCCACGTTTTGTCAAACAATCAGAAAGTTGATGACTGTTTGGAACCCACTCAATTTTACCAATTTCCCCGTTCTCCAAATTTTGCTTAACAATTGCAATATCAATACGTAAACGTTTTTCCTGAACAAGTTTTGTAGAATATACATTATCATACAGTGACTTATTATCAACATAACAAAAAATTGGAATTTTACAATAACTACAGTGCTGTATTTACAATCTCACTTAAAATCGCTCCGACATAAACTGCCATGTCTAGAGCATCACATAATGCTAAGGTTTCTGCAGCTATAGTGCTCTTTACAACCCTCCTAATTTTCTTGGAACACCACACTATTGGACAAACTAAATCAGAACTACCCTGTAAAAATATTACATATCCCTCAGCACTTGAAACATTATCACACAAATTTGCATATGAAGCATCAGAAAATACAATAACCATAATGTCTTTTAAAGAACCTAAACAAGGAAACATTACTTTACAACTGTCACCTTTCAGCTTCTTTACACATTTATGTGCTAATATTAAATGCTCAATTTTTGGCCTTTTCATGGAAACACCTAAATTTAAAATATAGATCTGGACGAGATTGATTTGAAACCCAACTTAACTGTCCAATGACTTCTCTTAAATTGGTAATTTCAAATTCATTCAAATCACCATCCTTATTTTGATACCTAGCGCCATTTATATTAATATTTTCAACTTGCTTAATGTAAGATTCTTGGTGTAATATAATACAATTCTGTAATTCTAAGCCAATATACTTAAAGTAGCTAAGTCTCTAACTCAATATCATCCAAAGTCTTCAACATTGAAAACACGATTTTTTTGTCAAATTAAATCAACATTCATGTTGTGATCTTACCGGAAAAAAGATGGGCTTTTGATATCCAATATTTAAGACAAAATAAACATTTTACCATTGGTACACGAATCGTGTACCATAATGCGCTTCAGCCCCAGTTGTATCAAGAGACTCGAGGGACGAGGCTAGACACATTGCATCAAATCAAACGGCGTATGTAGACTGGAATAACCAGACGCTAGAAATTTGCACTTGCTTGAGACTGCTGGCTTATTTCGCCGAACATAACTGATTTGAAATTGGAGTAAAAATGGAAACCATTGAATGTAAATGAGTTTATATACATTCATATTACAGTATTATATGCGTTGCGACCCACTTTTGTCAATTTCTAGGTCCCAAATGTTAGCGATTTAGCTCCTTTAAATAAGCCTGATTCTTGTTTACCACTTACAAATGATTCAAGTACTTTATCTATAACCGAAGTTTTAAACTTATCATTTCCACACCATAGAAAATCATCAACATGAGTCAGAAACAAACCAGATATACAATTTTCATAAAAGAAAAAGAAAAATGCAGGATCAATGCTAGATATTGTACATCCTATATCTTAAGTAAATTATTTTTCACACTCATATAGCAATTCCTGGATGCATCACTTAATCCATAGACACATTTTATCAGTTTCCAGATAATACCTATAGCATCCACCTCTCTTGGAGGTTTTAAATACACTTCACGAGAAATATCATCTCCCTGCAGGAAAGCTGCTTTGAAGTCAATTGATTGACATGCCCAGTTCATTGTTGTGGCTAATGAAAGAAATATTCTTAAAGTTTCTTTTGTAGCAGTAGGCGAATCTGCCTGTATATCTGATTCTTCAAACCCACGAGCCACTAAACGAGCTTTCAGAGATTCGTTGTTATTGATCATTTTCTTTGTTATCACCCATCTAGTTGAAAGTGTTGGTTGCCCTCGATCTGGCACTTCCTCATACACTTTAAAACGTTTCCAATTGTCTAATTCTGCATGCTTAGCTAATTTCACATCAGACGACGCTTCATTTATTTCTACTATCTCACCACATTGGTCTGAAGGTTTCCATTCACTCAAGTCATTCACAAAATCTACACCTTTTGCATTATCATCACCACTGTCTCTAATATTCAAATACGCCCAATTTCTACCCGTCGCTTTACCACCTCTACTCAATACTGTCGCTTCAATCCACTGATCGCTATTTTTCAACTTATATTTAATTTGCTCATTATTACATGGTAAATCCGTTAACTTTTGAACAGTTCTGGTGCCAATTCTACCTACAGTTTAATTTTCTTTCTGAGTTACCAAATCTTCATCACTATCGGATTCAACCGATACAATTTTATCATTTTCATTTCCATCCAATTTATCTTCATTAACTTTATCATTTTTCTGCTCAGTGAATTCTTCTCCAACCTTGGTTAAACGACATGGATGAATTCTTACATATACACTACCGTGTCGAACAAAAACCACTTTTCCGTCCTGCCCAATCACTTTACCAGGTCCTCTCCACTTGTCGTCTCTTTTATAATGAACAAGTTCCCCTTGTTCGAATGGACCACTAGATGTGCTGATTTGATGTCTTAATGCCCTACGAATTCTTTCAGAGGCTTCTGCCTGAATGAAAGCTCTTCTTCCAGCATGTAACGCGTTCAAATGGCTGGCAAATTTTGCACTAATTGTTTTCCCTTCTAAAGCAGGAGGTTTATCTTCCATAAATGATGGTAAATTTGGGTTCACACCAAAAACAAGTTGATGGGGGCTCCACCTATAAACCATCTGTAGGCTGTTTTTCGCATTCACGGCCCAGGCTAATGCTACCCTAAGTTTCATTTGTGGATCGTCCTCCAAAAGCTTAGATACACAATCGTCTGCAACTGAATGATTCCGCTCACAAAGTCCGTTCTGCCAATGACTCCTGGCAGCTGTATTAATCACCTGAATATTCAAATTTTCGCACTTGTCCCTGAATTGATCATTCGCAAATTCACCACCATTATCAGCAAAAAACTTTTTAGGAGCACCAAAACCACCACCTATCCATTTTACCATAACTTCCTCTACTATGATATCAGGGGTCTTTTGATAAATAACACTTGCCAAACTGAATCGTGTTGCAAGATCAATTAAATGCAAGAAATAAACATTTGTATTCCACTGTTTCAAATCCATTGCTACACATTCATTAAATTCTGTAGCCATTGGGGTACATACTACCGGTCGGGATGGAGTCCGTTTATAACGTTTACATACTTGACAATTATCCGAGATTTCATCAATAACCTTCTGAAATTCTGTTTCATAAAATCCAGCATCTTTTGTTAAGGTTTTTAGTCTACAACTTGTGGGATGCGTAAATTGTTTATGAAGTTTTTGCACCATTTTATATTTTTCGGTAGTACCCTCAGCCTGAAAAACTTCAAATGCGTCTCTAATATCTATATTAGATTGTTCTAATATACAATAATGTCCAGCCGTAAAACAATGGAGTTTTACATCTGTGCCGAATATTTGTGCAGAATCATTTTTTAGATCAAGTTTTACTTTAGCACGTTTCATAGTATATCACTATCTTCCACATCTGTTTCTAAAACACATTCCTAATGGTTTCAATTTACAACCCCCTCCAAATTTGAAAATAGTATCACTATCTAACCGTTCAATACCCTGGCGTTCCCTATCACTTAAACTGTCTAGATAACATTGAAGCCGCCACTTACCTGCAACTGTTGAAGAACATGCACTATCTAAAACTGCCGAATATAATGTTTCACTTGCAAATGTCTTCATTTCTATAGGCTCACTTCCGGTGAATGGAATAGCTATTTCTGGCTCTTGTGACTTACTCATGTTCTCGTAAGAATAGGGGCAGTCTATTACCAGATGTCGGATTGACTCACAACTACGACACTTTAATGGTGTTCCATCAAAGGACATAGGATTTATTGGTTTCGATACTTGATTACTCCGATAATACTGATTACGCTGATTACTTTGATAAAACACTCCTCTATATCCATAGTTAAATCCTCCTCTTATTCTTCCCTGACCTCTTCTAAAATCAAAGTTACTTCCCCTTCCGTATCTGCTTAAATTCCTCGCTTCCAACACATCTTCTTCTCTCTCGCTAATATAGGTGTCTTGTTCGACTTTAATACTAGATGACGCACTTTTGATACCATCACATGACAACAGAAATCGACTGCTTACCAAAGAATTTCTTTAATGAATTACCCATTTGTTTAAATAAAGTCTCAGTCTTACTGTAATCTACTCCAGTTAACACCAATTGACGATTTTTACTCTCTAACCCAGCTCCATCCAGTAATTTGAAGGCTAGAACAGCAGCAGGTAGATCCATTCTAAACTTCTTTGATCTGTTATATCTCTTTTCAAATTCACTGACGTAAACTTCAGTAAACATGTCTTTTTTTTTCTAAATTTGTCGAACTCTAAATATGCTTCATAAGCTTCTGTTAATTCATCCTTTTTGAATAGCTTGTCCATAAAATCTGTCAATTTTCTTACACCATCATCAGAACTAAGTTCATCAGTTGAAAGTTCATTAAACACTTTATCCCGAATTCCACTTGTATCCTTCTCATCCAGGCTTAGAGCTATGGCTAAAGCTTGCTTTTCAGCAGGTAAATCAGTTAAACGTCTCCATGCCTTGATTTCTTCCAGCCATCGACCATATGGTTTTTCTGAGCTATTAAAAGCTGGTGGTGTTTTGAAAGATGCAGCCTGTATATTCAACTTCAGGTAGAGATTTGGATTAACGCTCTGCTACCATGTTTAGTAGATTTATAATATTCTTTATTCAATCATCAGTATCAACTTTAGGCCACCTTCATATCACCTTCACTCCTATACACACACAGCCCATCTTGCTTCACTCCTCACCTGACCTGTGTGTATTCACAGCACACACCTGGATTGACATGCACTCACTCTCACTGTACACCTCACTCACACACCACTAGCAGACGACATAGTTAACAATTTTGTTCGGCAATTTTGTCCGATTTTCACGAAATTCGAACTCAACCGTCATTAAGGTGTAACAGTGATATATTCAAACGTTTTTTTTTAAATCGGAATATACAAAAACATGATTTTTAAAATCAAATAATAATTGTGACATCTTGAGGGACCACAAGCTAAGAGCGTGATTTTTCGTACAATCAAGGGCCATAATTAAAAAAAGTTATAATCCGATAGGCGCGAATATAAAAAGGAAACAAGATCTTTTGAATATAAATATGCATTCCAAGCTTCATCAAAATCAATAAATCAATAACAGACGGGATGATTTGGACGTTAGAAACATTTTGACAATTTTAAGAAATTATGAACAGTGTTAAAAATGAACTCATTTTGATCAATTGAGAGGACAAACTGACCATTGAATAAAATACTAATATCTTGAAATTGCTGCTTTAGTAAACCAATAGTTTGACCTCGGGCACCCAAATGCAAGGAGCATACTAGTAGATAATGGCAACAATCTTCAAAATGGTGACTACACACGCAGGCGAGGCTATCCGTTAAATGTCTCAAAAACTTATGACCATTTAAATCGCTGCAGCCTAATCTCAGTTTACTATGTATTATTTGATTTTTTTCTATCTCCAATATAATAGTACTGTGGAATAATATGGTCGTTTTTAATCAAGCTTGAAACAAATGATGAGACAGAATTTGAATTTTGTACTTCGGGCTCCAATGTGTTCCATTCTCTGATCATGGACGGAATAAATGAATTTGAAAAAATGTTTGTTCTACAAAAGTACTCATCGAGGTTATTACAGTTTCTTAGACGATATGGTGATTTTTTCTTTAATATAAGGTTAGAAATATAAGAAGGAGCTAGACCATTGATTAACTTATAGAATAATTTTAATCTGTGTCTTCGTCGACGTTCAGCTAATGGAACAAATCCTATTTCTTTATAGAGTTTTGCATGGCTCCACAAATAGCCCTTAGTGCATCTAACTGTAAAGTTTCTAATTGTGAAACTAATTTGTTTGAACAACCAGCCCAAATTACGCCAGCATAATCAAAATGTGGTAAAATAAATCAAGTATAGATAATGTTTAATGATTTTCTATTAAGTCGATATTTTAAAGATCTAAAACAATTGATAAGTTTCCCTACTTTATAATTATTACAGATATGATTTATATGGACATCCCATTTGCAATTTGGTTGAAAGTTTAGCCAAAGATGTTTATGCTCCGATACTTCTTTTATTTGCACAGTGTCCAAGTACATGTGTGGTCTAGTTGAATTTATTTTAGTTGAAAAGTTTTTGTTTCAGTTTTTAGGGGGGTGAAAGTTACAAGCCATGTCTTTGACCAGTTATTAATAGTTATCAAATCATTATTCAGAATAGCCGCGTCCGCCTGAGGATTCGTTATTTGCAAATAAAGGGAAGTATCATCTGCAAACAGTCTAATATTCGAATTAATATCATTTACAATATCATTAATGTATAACAGAAATAAAAGAGGACCGAGAACCGATCCCTGTGGGACACCGGCAGGGTCAATCCTGGGGTCAGAGGAGGCACCACTAACAACTACTACACGCTTTCTATTTTTTAAATAATCAATAAACCAATCAAGCAGCCCCCCCCCCCTTTACACCAGACGCCCTCAGCTTATGACAGAGTCCAGCGTACCAGACTGTCAATAGCCCTGCTGATGTCACAGAGCACTGCTCTTGTATACTTTCCGTGATCTATGGCTTAACAAAAAGTGTGAGTTAAGTCAATTAGTTGATAGATAGCGCTATCTCCCTTTAAGAAGCCGCTTTGAAGCTAAAGGTCTAACAAATGTTTAACCTGAAACATAGCATCTACAGATATTTAGTTTTCTGGACAAGGGCCTATATAAGGTCAACCTTTCTTCAGATAGAATTTGAAGATAAAGGTCTAACAAATGTTTAACCTGTAACATAGCATCTACAGATATTTAGTTTTCTTGATGGAGTTCGAAGGTGAGCTTTTTCTGCTTAGGGTAAGCAGAGATAAGCAATTTGATTTGTTGATGCTTTGGGGCACGATAACTTTAGTTCTAATTAAGTTAGAGTGATGAAATTTGGTGTATAATTTTATTACATCAATAATACCTTGACTAAGTTCGATAATGAGCATTTTCTGCTCAGGGTTAACAGAGCAATAAGCAATTTGATTGGTCAAGACTTTGGAACACAATAACTCTCATTCTAATTGAGCTAGAATGTTCACACTTGGCATAGGTGTTTATTGGGTGAATGCCATGATGGAGTTTTAAGATGAGAATTTTCTGCCTAGGGTAAGCAGAGATAAGCAACAGGATTGGTTGATGCTTTGGGACACGGTAACTTTAGTTCTAATTAAGTGAGAGTGAGGACACTTGGTGTATAGTTTTATCACATCAATACCTTGACTTAATTCGATAATGAGCATTTTCTGGCCAGGGTAAGAAGAGCTATAAAAGCAATCTGATTGGCCGAGACTTTGGAACACTATAACTCTCCTTCTAATTGAGGTATAATGTTCAAACTTGGTGTAGGTGTTCATTGGGTGAATACCTTGATGGAGTTCGAAGACAAACATTGTCTGCTTATGGTAAGCAGAGATAAGCAATCTGATTGGTTGATGCTTTGGAGCATGATAACTTTGTTTTTAATTAAGTAAGAGTATAGATTCATTATATCATTACCTTAACTAAGTTCGATGATGAGAATTTTCTGGTGTATAATTTTATTACATCAATAATACCTTGACTAAGTTCGATAATGAGCATTTTCTGCTCAGGGTTAGCAGAGCAATAAGCAATTTGATTGGTCAAGACTTTGGAACACAATAATTAGTTTAGTTCTAATTAAATTCTATTTAGTTCTGTTTAACCTAAGCAGAAAATGACCATCCTCGAACTCCGTTAAGGCATTGACCTAATAAACACCTACACCAAGTTTAAACATTCTAGCTCAATTAGAAAGAGAGTTATTGCGTCCCAAAAAGTGTGACGGACAGACAGACCCATTTTAATAGTCATCTGCTTTCTTTGAAAGACGGGGGACAATAAACACCTACACAAAGTTTGAAGTTCTAGCTCAATTAGGAGAGATATTGTGTCAAAAAAGCTCATCTTCGAACTCCATCAAGGCACTGACCTAATAAACACCTACACCAAGTTTGAAGTGAAATGGAATGGGGTTTAACGCTCTACTTCGAACTGGGCTAATGAAGACGGGCATACCAAAGATGGATTTTGGCATTGCGAATTGAACAGAAGCAAGCAGTTATCTAACTACGTTTTCTACCCCTTGGGAATGCTATCGCTGGAAATGTATGCCTTTTGGCATATCCCCTGCCTTGGAAGGACTCTCTGAGGTAAATGAAATGAAATGAAATGGGGTTTAATGTACTGCTGTTCTGCTGGGCTAATGAAGACGGGCATATGCCATAAAGTGTGCTACGAGGGAAATTTTGCCCGGACAGCGGCACTACGGCCTACTCTTCTATCGAATTCCAGCTTTCAAGGGATCTGTTCGGTGCACGCCAATGTGTACACAGGACCTCGGTTTTCCGTTCCATCCGAAGGACTTAAGCTGTCCTTGTCAGGCCCTCCATCCTGCATCACTGACAAAGGGAAAGCACACCGGAAAATATGGATGAATTTTCTCGGTCAATGTAAAGGTCGAACACCCTACACAAAATTTGAACATTCTAGCTCAATTAGAAGGAGAGTTATTGTGTCCCAAAAGTGTGACGGACAGACAGACAGACCCATTTTAATAGTCCCCTGCTTTCCTCAAAAGGCAGGGGACAATAACTATTTAACAAGGTAGAATAGAGTTAGAATTGCTGGGGAGAAGTATTTGGATTGGATTAAACAATAGCAAAAGTCAGAACAAGGTCCGTTGACTTTGCCGTACGACCACAAGTGCTATTAATAGTATTATTTTTTAGCAGTCGACATCGTAGGGCGACAGTTACATTCTAAAATTCTCAAATATCAAATACAAAAGGACAACTTTTGTTATAAAGAGGAATATAATGGGACACAACTCTATGTAATGGTGGACATCTCTGAATAACATATCGTTCAATTCGAACTGTTTAACCGCCCAATTCTAACCGTTTACGGTTATCCGACTAGCCGTAGGAGCACTAGTGGATGTATTATGCCATCGCCCCTGTCTGTCTGTCCACAATTTGTTTGTGGACACTCTACAGGTCACAATTTTTATCCAATTTTGAAGAAACTTGATATGTAGTTCTTTCTCCCAAAGATCTCGGTTCCTTTCGATATTGGCATGTATCAGACCATAACCTGATGGATTATGGCCCCTGATTGTATGAACAATCACATTTTTAACTTGTGGGCACTTTAGAGGTCACAATTTTTATACGATGTTGATGAAACTTAAAATATATGTTTATATCTCAAAGATCTGGGTTCCTTTCGATACTTGCACGTATCGGACTCTCAATCCTGGATTATGGCCTCTGATGGTACGAAAAATCTTTTTTTATTAGCTTGTAGATTCTTGTTCTCTGTCCATTTCTTCCAAAATGTGGGCATATCTTGCATGGCAATCAAATAATCACCGCTTGGATTAATCATTAAAAGTAAATATATATCATTGGCAATTATCAATCAACTAATCAATAATCCAAGACAACTGATTAGTAATACTATTACTCATTGACGCGATCCAGATTATTGATTAATTTAAAGTATGCCGCCACACGATTCACACTCAATGGTCAATCCAGGATAAATACGATTAGAATTTTAAGTTTTTATTCTGCCTGTTCTCAAAAAGAATTGCCAGTACAGAAAAATGTTATTGCCAAAATTATCGGCAAAATCAAATTTAAATCGCCACTCTCATATTTTCATCACAAATTGCAACTTTGGCAACCGATAGCGTGGGCCCTGGCTATGACTACCAACCGTAGTATGATGTCTTATTGTTGTACTTGCGGATTCGAAATTTGAAACTGCCTTTGGTTCGTCAGAAGAAGCTTCTATGGCATGACACTGAATCTGATTTACAGGAGGGTTCTTGGGTCTGCAAAAGGAATTTTATTTTAAAAGATTATTGAAATCTACATGTATTATCATCAGATATTATACTTTTAAAGTCTCGGATCATCGTTTGAGTGTCATTTGAGTGATATAGAAATCCCTTGCCAACTACAATCTGTCAAAATATGACAATCTGTAAAAGGAATGTCAGTCTAAATATGATTCAATTCCGTTCAGAATTTACAAAGATATGATGAATTGGAAATTGTCGACCTATGGCATACACTGCAGACAATATAAATGGGATATGGTCAGAAGAGGTTGGTGCCACACATAACCTTTGTT